CATAAAGGGGCAAACCCTCCAACGCATTGAATGAGTGATAAATGCAAGTGCATGAGCATGAAACATGGACTGAAATCACATAATAAATGATGTCAAATCATTCAAATAGTCCAAGTAAAGCATGCTAGTGAACTTGATGCACAAAGCTAACAAGCTAGAATGAACCAAAGCTATACAAAGCAAGGCATGCATGGTCAAAACAACCAAAATCAGAGCTAAAGCATGTTAAAACATAGACAAAAGCTTCATGAAGTTAAGAGGAAAAGCGTGCTAGAATGGCATGTTAAAACATGATGCATGTTAGGCTATTTCAAGAAAATGCACTACAAGTGCATGGAGCATGCAAAGGGTGACCAAACCAAACCCTAACAGAGGTATGACATAGTAAAACAAGCCAAAGAACATATTGAAATGTACTCAACACAAGCTAAAATGACATGCTACTTCATGAAGCATACAAAACTAGTGTGTGTGATTTACACTACAAGTGTATAAGGCATGCAAGGTGTGACAAAATCAAGCAAAAACAGTGGCATGCCACAGCAAAATAACCACAAATACATGCTAAGAACAAGCCAACACAAGCTTAAAACACATGCTCAAACATGAGGCATATATGGCAAGTATTTAAAATACAAGGAGAGGGTCCCCTCTCCTATTTGGGACCCCAAAACCACCTTTCCACCACTGAAAATCCTCTGGATTTCAGTGGTAGAAAGGTCATGCAAAGGCTACAACAAGAGCCTAAATGGGTGGCTCCAAACAAGGCCTAACAAGGCCTAAAAGGGGGTAAACAACCCCAAACACAAAAGTGACCTTAAACAAGCTTTTAATGCACACAAAAACAGAACTTTTTCCAGTAGGAAGTTAGTCTCAAAACAACATGCAAAAGGGTCTAAAAGCTTAAGCAAGAATGGGGGTTTAAAAGGTTAAAGACTCACCCTTGAAGACCCTCTTCAAAACCAAAACTCCAGCAACTTTTTCCAACCAAAACCAGTCCAAAAGCTTCAAAAACAACCTCAAAGGACCTCAGCTTCAAGAGTATGGTGTTTGAGTGTGTGTTTGTGTGTAAAAGTGAGACAAAACTACACTTTTAAGGCAAAACAAGAGCAAAATGAAGAAGTATAGATACAAAACTATATGTATCACTCAAGCTCCAATTTTTTGAACCTAGAGGAGGGAGGAGATGGTTCTCTTTTATAGAGAACCAAAAGCAAAGCTTCTTGGAGAAGCTAAGGTTCAAGGAAATCCCTCCATACACGTATGGAGGATAGCTTCAGTGCCCTCCAACTGTGCCAGCTGGAGGAAAATATCTCCAAAAAGGTGGCAAAAAGAAGCCGACCACTTAAAGTGATCGGCCAGCTACTTCAAGTGGTCGGCCATGGTGGGAGATGATCAACACACTGAAAACAAGCCAGGGGTGGGGTGGTCGACCAAAAAAGATGGCTCAAAGACCTAGGAGACCAGTTGTCAGATCAGAAAACTGGCTGGCGGGAAGAAAAGTAGTCTCCAAGGAAAAAACTGGTCTCCCACCCTTGTACCACTTTCCAAACAAGGAAAACAAGGTTTGTACCAAAAACAAACCAAAACGGATGCAAAACGAAAGTTCGGGAGGCAAAGCGCGCCGCCGGAAGCCTCGAAAACTAGCTGACAAGCACCAAAAGTGGCTCACGACCACAAAAGTGGTCTCCCAAACCACAGTGGCCCTCTAGGCCAAGGAAACAAGGTGTGGTTCAAAAACCACGCCAAACGGAGAACGTTAAGCAGTCCCGAGACAAGGCACGCGGCCGAAGGCTCCGAAAATCGAAAGCTAGTCTCCAAACGGAAAAAGTGGTCTACCACTGCGAAAAGTGGTCTATGACCACAAAAGAGTGGTCCACAAGACCTCTCCCTCCCTCAGGCAAGGAAAACAAGACTTGGTCCGCAAATCGAGCCGAAACACAAAGAGTTCAGAGGCCCGGAGGCAAGGCTCTCAGCTAAAACTCCGAAACCTCAAAACGAACACGACATGCACTATCACCGAGCGCTTAATCAATGACGTCTGAGTCTTAAGGTCGGTCAAAAATTGGGTGTCTACACCTGGGATTACAGAAGGCCTCTTAACAGAATGACGTATAATAAGGGGTTGCGGAAGCAAATATAGAAAATATACAGTGTCCATAGAACTGTGTTAACGTATTTGAAACAAAAAACTTCAAATCAACTTATATATTTATATATATATATATATGTGTGTGTTAGGTCATAAATACATGAGTCTTACGTCACCCAAGTACATAGATAAAGCCAAAAGGGATCTTAGCCCAATATATAGATAAACAAAACAAAGCAAAAGCATTTGTAGCAAGGTTATCAAAACTAAACATTTCAAAAGGGAACCTCCCCGGGAGGCACGGTGGCTAGCTGACTCAAAACTCTAGGCAGCAGGTTAAGCCTAGTCACGCACCTGCTCACCTACATACATAATAAAAATAGTGAGCGGAAGCCTAGTGAATAATAACAGGGTAAAGGGTCTAAATGAATGATGTCCATAATAGAATCGGAAACCAGAGTTCATATCAAAAATAAATTTATGTTCATTTTCTTGTTCAACTTCGTACAGAAATTAAAGTTCATGCTTCATTATACATGGTACATCTAATAGTGTTATCATGCTTGTTAGTTCCATAAGGAACCTCCGGTACCGGGAACTTGTAATATACTTGGGCCTCGGTATTGTTACCCCCGGACGAGGGCCATGAAACCACGGTATTGTTACCCCTAGGCGAGGGCCATGAAACCACGATATTGTTACCCCCGAGCGAGGGCCATGAAACCATGGTACTATTACCCCAGAGCAAAGGCCTTGCTTGTAAACCATGGTATTGTTACCCCCGGGCAAGGGCCTTGTGCTAAGGATGCCACGAATACTTGTTAGAAATTGAACAATCATTCATTGGACAGAATTCAACATTTCATAAAACAGAGCATTCTTGTCATATCATATCATATTAGAAATTACTTAGGCGTAAATATAGCTTTACAAAGTTATTACTCACAAATGGCTCCACTTGCAGAACAGACAAATCAAATAACTTGTGGCGCGTGACCTACACATACATAGCAGAAACACATAATGAAACATGCACTCGGTTGGTACTTAACTTTTTTCGTTCCATACTTGGTGTGTTTCTAGGTCTTAACTTCTTATTGAGTCTTAATCACGGCCTAGGAATGCCTACGATGCAATGTGGACGTCAAAATGCACTTGAACATGTTTTACAAAACTTGCTGAGAATAGGGGTCTCGCTTGAGCGCAACTTCCTTCGCTCGAGCGGACACGCAAACTTGTGAAGGGCCACTCGAGCGCAACTTCCTTCGCTCGAGCGGTTTGTAAACTTTGAAAAAGTACTGGTTGTGTGATTTTTACGCTCAACGAATGCTCAATGGTTGCTCGAGCGTAAGACTCAAGTCCTCGCTCGAGCACAACTCTTGTCGCTCGAGCGGTCTACAAAAACATGAAACTTCTGGAATCATGGATTTTACGCTCGAGCTAACATTTGGTCACTCGAGTAGAGGTGAAAAACATAGAGTGGTTGCTCGAGCGCAGGATTAGTCGCTTGAGCGAAGAGGCAGAATCTGGGATTTCCAAATTGCTCTGCCAAGTGCAATACCCAATTCTAAAGTTGCAAATCATGCTCTTTTGGGCCAAAAGCTTGAGGAAACTTGAGGAAATACTTGTAAATAGATAAAACATGGTGAATTCTAAATCATTTCACAAAATTAAGTCCAAAAGCTTTGTCAATTGTTTTAAACTCAACCTTGAAATTGTGAAAATATATCATTATATATCATGCATGTAAAGGTGCAAGTTCAAAGCTTTCAAAACATGATCCAATGAGGTGTCTAACTCAAAAACATATTGAATTCTTTGATCAAGGCTAAAATGAGGACATGCAAGAGGAAATTCTTTGAAAACTACTTCAAATTGTGATGAAATGAGTATGCATGCATGATTTGGTTCAATTCTTTTCAATTCTAACTCAATTCTTGCATTAACCAACTTAATTCTCTAGAGTTTATGTCCCACACACTATAATTGTACAATCTAAGGGTTGAATTCTTACTTAGGCCTGTCAATGAGAGAGTTAGAAGCTTGATCCTTGTATTTCTATGTCCAATCCTTCAATTCCTAGCAAGTTCTTTAGTTGAGCTCAAATCTCTCATTTCTCTCCCTCTCTCATGTTTGTTTACTTGTGTAGGCTCAAAGTGTATTGAAATGAAGGAAAAAGGATGAGCGGAGGAACCAATGGTGCCTTATATAAGCTTGGATAATAGTGTAATTAAATTGTTGATCAAACTATCAAGTAGACATTAAATTATTCTAATTTAATCATTTCGAATCGAATTCTAATTAAACTTACCATAATGTTCTAAAAATTTCAACTAACACATAAATCAGGTCAATTTCATGATCAGATGCCGATAAAGCCTTCGATTCATAAAACAAAACAGGAATTCAAACAAATATTTCTATATCAGACAAATATGAGCACAAATAATGTGACACATATGCAATTTCTTCAGAATTTCACCTTAATTACTTATTAGGCATACTTAATCATGAATTAACGTTAATTAAAGGTCGGGGTTGTTACATAAACTATTACAAACGAGACACGAATAGTCTCACAAATCACCCTTAGATAAATTCTAAACAATCACTACAACATATAAGAGTTTTAAAGACAAAACTTTTTGATCTTTAAAAATGAAAATTTTGTTCACTACAAGAAAAGTTGCCTATGACGACGTTTGAATCAAAGACGCTCTTTGTTGTAACCAAGTGTTAACTTGGAAAGCTGTAAGCCCGTAGGGCATTTTGTTATGAGGTTAACATGTAATATTTAATTAACGGAACTCTAATGAATATAAGAGTGTGGTTAATTTATATGTAAATGCATGTTTTATCTGATGGGTTTATTGTTATTATTTTGAGGGCGTTACAGTAACACAATCTCTCATGAGCTGCTCCTCTCTCGCGATTAATATCGATCTCTCTCAATAGCTGTTCTTCATTGGACTCGAACTCGATCTTTCTCACTCTAGCTGTCTTCATCAAACTCTGTGTGTGTGTGTGTGTGTGTGTGTGTGTGTCTCTCACAAATCGTAGATCTGAAATCGAACAAGAAAGTCGATCTAATCTGATCGAAATCCATACTCGATCTGATCTGATCTGATCTCTCTTGCATTTTGTTAGATTTGTTCTTGCCCTAGCTTTTCTTCATCGAACCCGAACTTGATCTCTTTCGCAAATTGTAGAGCCGAAATTGAACAAGAAAATCGATCTAATCTCATCAAAATCCGAACTCGATCTAATCTGATCTCTCACACATTTTGTTAAATCTGCTGATTAACAAGGTTTCAAGCAAGTCATTTTTATTTTGGTTTTCATTAACAAGTGTTAATAGGTGTTTGATTTCTTTGTAGGTGGCGATGAAGTGTAGAGATCGATTACATGAACTTGTAAAGGAAGAGATAGAGAAAAAGGATTCGAGTACGGAGGAGTGGAAGATCGTGATGGAGAGTAGCTTCAATCACATGGACAATGAGGTGATTGCATGGAACGACAGATTCATTTTTTGTTCTGTTCTGGTTTTCATTAACAAGTGTTAATAGGTGTTTGATTTCTTTGTAGGTGGCGATGAAGTGTAGAGATCGGTTACATGAACTTGTAAAGGAAGAGATAGAGAAAAAGGATTCGAGTACGGAGGAGTGGAAGATCGCGATGGAGAGTAGCTTCAATCACATGGACAATGAGGTGATTGCATGGAACGACAGATTCATTTTTTGTTCTGTTCAGATTTTTTTCTTTTCTTCCTCTTCTTCTTTGTTCTGTCCAGATTTGTCCTCCTCTTCGATTCATTTTTTTTTTCCAAATTTTTTTATTTTGTTTCTTTACAGCAAACGAAGAACAAAGACAATAATTTTTCATTTTTTTTCCAGATTTTTTTTTGTTCTGTCCAGATTTCTGTTTCCTCTTTTTCCAATTTTTTTTTTCCAGATTTTTGTACTCCTCATTGGCAGCAAACCAAGAACAAATTGATCTTATCCAGATTTGTTTTTCATTCTAGATTTCTGTTTTGTCCAGATTTCTTCTTCCTTTTTCCTGAACTCCATTTTTTTTTGCTGATATATATATTTTATTTTTTTATATTTTTTTCCCCTACAGCCACTGGAATTTCATGCAACTTGCATCTAGAGCCTTTATTTGTAATCATCTTTAAAAAAAAAAAAAGAAAAAAAAAGGTAATGTAAAATGACCCCTGTTCTTTGACTTTGCCCTCTTTTTACTGTTGTAGACTGTAGTAGAAACATAAAAATGATATATTTTAAGAAGAAACATAAAATAAAAAAACTGATATATTTTTATATTTCTTGTGTTTAGTGAACATTTGTTAGATTTTTTCATAAATTTTTTCATTGTGTGACTATGACTGCATTGTTAGCTAAGGTTGCGGCCATGGCACTTGCTCAGCACCCAGTTGTGAATACTACATGTAAAGATGGGAAGAGTTTTACTTATAATAGCAGTATAAATATTGCAGTTGCTGTGGCAATTAATGGTGGGTTGATAACCCCTGTTCTTCCAAGGTGGTTTGGTGGATTCCTTTCATGTATTCACATTTCTTCCTCGTAATTGAAAAGGTAAAGTTTTCTCCATAGCATACATAAGAAAAATGTTGCATATAGGGATTTAATTGATTTTTAGTAAACCGCACTAGTTAAGCATAATTAGATTTGGTTTTCTTAAAAGGTTGTTATAGTTTTATACTGAAATGTTATTTATTTTCATGTATTCACATCATTTGCAATAATTTTTGTTCTTTTAGCTTTATATTAAAAGGAGAGATCGACGTAATTATGTCAAAATTGTAGCGTTTGTTGTGTTTTCTCTAAACTTAAGGGGGAGGTCAGTGTACTTTATCCTATTATTGAACATCCTCATAATTTATATCAAACTATCTTGTAGCCCTTGATTTGTCCATTTTCATCTTGTAATTTATCCTATTATTGATTTGTCCATTTTCATCTTGTGCCTTATGATGTTTTACCAATCCATGGCTGTAAGTTTGGCACTGGCAAATTTGGCTAATTTATATGATGACTCAATTACTTGCACTGTTATCCATATAACCTTTGTTTATGTTGTTGAAGAAATTATTTATAATCGGTATTTCTGATATGTTCTAGAGTTTCTTGGCCTCTTGGACCTTTTCATGTATTATATTATTGAACTTTGTTATGTGGCTGCAGGGTGAACCAAGTTTCCATCTATTTGGTTTTATAATGTGTCATGGTGCTACAGCTGCAAGGGCATTAAAGTCTCTGCTTCAAGGCATTTTGCTGTCCTCAGAAGGGTAATTAACTATTTGTCTCTATAACAAAATTGTAAATATTTTGGGTCCTTTATTTTTGTTATAGATTATTTATCTGCTTCCATTATTGAAAACCCACACTATTATCTTAGTTTCTTTTCCAGGGAAAAACTAAATTCTATGAACCTTCTGTTATACATGGCACCAATAGCTGTTTAGTTCTTAATTCCTGCTACATTGTTGATGGAGGAAAACATGGTTGGGATCATAATAGCTCTTGCCAGAGATGATATCAAAATAATCTTTTATTTACTCTTCAATTCTGCCTTGGCATATTGTGTGAACTTGACCAATTTCTTGGTCACCAAACACACCAATGCTCTGACTCTCCAGGTCTGTCCCTTCGTTCTAACATAGCTTCTTTCCTGTTTTAGTTTGGCATCAATGATATCTTAAAAGAACTGGGGACTCTTTATTTGTTATTGAAATATAAAGAAGAGGATTTTTTCTACATGATGATCGAGGATATGATTATTAATTAAGGTTTTAACATAAAAATCATTAAGGAAAAACTGTAAGGTTTAACATTGATAATTCCTTGTAATATGTTAGTTCTTCAATTTGGTCCTACATCTAATTGTTTTCAGAGCATCATTTGTGACATGGTCTTGTGTCATGACATAGAGTTGTGTTTTGCATGGTAAATTCTTTAGAACTGTGAGTACTTTGTTGGAACACTAGCTCCCGTCTTGCCATTTTTCTCCCTGAAGAACATTTTACTAGCATGATGCTTAACTCATAAATCATTCTTTTTGTTGCATGATGCATAACTCAAAATTGCAGGATTGAGGAAAATAAATATATATAAGAACTCATCATCTGTGGGGCACCTCTGTGAGAAAGTATCTAAGCTATACCCAAAACACTAAAAATCGCTGGATGGTTACCAAAAACTGCTCTAATCTGGCTTCTTGTTGAGTATTCAAATCAAGCTTCTTCCTCTATTTTGTCAGGGTATGCCCCCTCCACCCTAGGTTCATGCTTACTCCTGATAGGTTAGTCTTTTGTGATGTCATAATCTTTTCTCTTACGGAAAACATTATTTTGCAAGGTTGAGAAAGAAATAGAAGAGAGAAGAAAGATCTCCTTTCACAAGGTTGGAATATCCGTGGCACCCCCAGTCAGTTTTCAGGACATCGTTGCTTCCCACGGAGACTCTGAAGAGGTTGGTCTTATCCTTTTCCTTTCCTTGAATGAAGAATAGCAGAATGATAGTGTGAGGAAAAACAACTGTGCGTTATTGGTCATAATGTTCAGGATATTGTGCAGGATATTGTGGGGTGTCAGTTGCTTACAGAGGCAGTTAAGAAGGTGCAAATTCAGGTAAATTGGTCATAATGTTCATGCAATTACTCATATTGGCATTTTTTCATTGACAAACTAATTCCCTGCAAGTTTGCATCCTTTTGTTATCTATCCTTTCTCCTTTAGCACTGTAGGTTCTGTGACATAACCGTACACTTTAGATAACTATTGCATTGAATTTATGTACCAGTTTATTTGCTTGAATTTGATTTGTCCCGGCCTTCTTTGCATGCTTTTTCTCCCCCAACTTCATGTAAAACTAAGATGAAAGAGGAAAACAGACAAATGAACAAGTCACAGCCATGATTCTTTTCCTTTTCTTTTTTTTTTTAAATAAAAATTAATAAAACAGCATGAGTTCTTGCCTCTTTCCTCCTTTCTGCCCGTTCCTCACTTTTGAAATTGAACACAGCCAAGCTTTGTTTCATGCCTGACTTAGTTGAATTCTCAACCTGCTTGGGCCTGCACAACAGTAACTCTATGTCAAACCTCAGAAGGTCAAAACATCCAAGTAATGAAGCATTGCATATGATGTTTCATAAACCTGTTTGCATTCTGACGTGCTTTAGGAACAAGCTTCTCTGAGGCAGAAGGCTTAGGTTCATGAACAACCTTTTTTGTCTTCAATTCCTTTTCACTGCTAATGAGAAGTATTTTTTAGCAGCATACCCATTGCAGATATAGATTTTCCTTGTGCAGAAATTCGAAAGGAATAAATACCTTCTGTTATCATGAATAACTTTTGACTTTGAACTCTTAGGATCCTGTTAAGAATACCAGCCAATAACATGAGGGAAGAACAAATGAACAATATTCCAAAATAAGGGAATGCTACTTAAAAATATCAATGAAACAAAAACAAAAAAACAAAATGCATAATTGTCATTTTAAGAACATTAACTTGGGCCAGGGCAACATCCTATTGGAACCATTACTTCGGTATATTCTTTGTGCACATCCTGGCATGGCTCCCACAACCCCAAATTTGGTTACTTCTTGTACTTTTTTACTTCGGGAGAAACTACTTCATTTATTTTATATTACAGCTTGCAATCCAAATTAACTTGCAATTGTACAAAGTGTGTTTGTCTGTATGAGTGGATAATGACTGACAAATGACATATTTCTTTGTTCTAAATGAACCCAGAACCGCAAGTGCAGCAAATGGCCCAGAAGGACAAATGACAATATTCGGTTGTGGCAAAGTAAATGTCTATGATGATGTGCCAGCTGAGAAGGTATTGAAGCTTTTCCTTCTGAGTAAATTCCCTGAGATTATTCTGATGGTATTCTAGGCCTCTAATGTGACCAAAATGTTTAGGCATGAGTACTAATGCAGCTTGCTGCAAGCCCACTCCAATTGCCTCTAGAAGTTCCATTTGAAGGAACTACGGCAAGACGACCTTTGCTGTGCCATTTACAGGCTGCAACTGTTAAAGTAGGCCCAGATGCTCTTGTTGTAATATTGCCAACCTCACAAGCAGGTAATTTAGAATACATTAAGAATGCTCTCCCTTTGTTTTATTTCATAGATTATTGAACTTCTAGCTTGGAATGTCTTTAAGGATTGTGTCCATTCTCCTTTGAGCCACTTGTCTAATAGGCATTCTTGGTGCCTGGATGGCAAAAAACTTGGCTAACACAAGCAGAGCACATTGTTTGCCTTCAATAAATGGCCTGTTTTTACTTGCCAATGATAATGGCATGGAAGCATACACAGCATATTTGTAAACTGTTATATGTTGTGGTTAATAGTTGTGCTTATGCTCAGTATTAATTTGTTATCTTGTTCTGGCTTTATAGTGAACATGACTGACAACTGTCAGCTGCAAAGGGAGGAAAGCGCCATATTTCATGAAGACAACCCTGGTAAATGCTTCTACCAGATTATAATTGCTTCATTGGGTTATATATAAATAGGAACAACAGATCACTATTTTTGGCATCGTTATCCTTTGTTCGGTTGCTTAGAAAATGGAGGAAAAAGAAAAGAAAATGTAAAGTAAGTTCTGGGTCTTTTGCGGCTGCCACAGGCAATGGTCTTTTTATTATTTTCTTAATTTCCTCTGCTTTTCGTGATTTCCATTATGGAATGGTTGTTTAGTTTCTTTCTGATTCATAATGTTTGTTTTTATTTTTGAAAAATTTCAGATTCTTAGCTTTCTCTACTTCTATTTGGGTATTATTTGTAGACTTAGTTTTACCCTCTGTTCGGTTGCTTAGAAAATGGAGACAAAAAATTAAAGAAAATTCTGGATCCTCTGTTATCTGAATGGTCATATATATATAACTGGGAAGTTTAAGATTCGGATTATTGAATTTTTTTTTTCTTCATTTCTGTCAGTTCATTTTCTGAGCTACCAAATAAGTGTTACTTACGTGTAATGTTGTAATTCCATGTAAGATTGAATATTTTCTGATTTCCGTTTACTTAAGCATGTTTTTTTTCGTCTCTTCCAGATTCATCCTAAATGTTTGTATCCATTTTTAATAATTCACAGATTCTTTTAGCTTTCTCACTCATGTAACATCTTTTACTCAGCTAACTATAACACAATTCAATTGTATATCTATATTTGTTTGTTAAGAATTTTGAATCTGCAATCAACAAGAACTTATGGGAATTGAATTCTGCAGAGAGGCTGGTTGAAATGGGTCATTTTTCATCCTTGTTCAATGGACTGGCGCAGTCATTTTCGATCAAGAACGGGCGGAATTCTGGGTATTGTGGCGAACGTGAATCTGCAGAATCAATGGTGAAAGAATCAAAGAAGAACGAGTTGATATTGCGGTCTTCGGGGACTGTTCATGTCAATGGGTCGAACAATTTTGCATCTGTTTTCTCCAAAAGAGGAGAGAAAGGAGTGAACCAAGATTGCTTTATTGTGTGGGAGGTAGGTTTTTAGACAATTTTGCTTGTTAGGATCTTAATTTTAGTCTTTTTTTGGTCATTAAAAAACAGCTTTTATAGGATTTTGCAAGTTTTCATTTGTTTTTGTGTTATTTAGATTTTAATGTTTCTTTTATTTTCTCCTTTCTGGATTCTTGGATATTTTAATAAATTTATAACTTTTCTTTATTCTCAAATTTTTCTTTTGATGGAAAGAGGCAAATAAAAATGAACATCGTTAAGGTGTCAAACAACTCATTGCTTTGGTATGTTTTGTAGAGTTTGTGTATTTTGGTGCATTTCAGTATGTTCTGATGGGAACATTGGAATTTCAGTATTCCACTATTGTTTTTGTCCATTTTGGTGGAAAAGAAACAAATTTTGAATGGGAGTTATTATTTTATGTTAATGTTATTACAGGTATTTTTAATTCAATCAAATAAAATTAGCACAATTTCAAAAAAAAAAAAAAGGGGGATATGACGGCGTTTTTCCAAAACGTCGTTAAATATCGTCAGTGACGTCAGCATGTGTTTAGGAGGACATTTGGTGGCGTTTTTAAAAACGCCGCATAAACTAATATGACGACGTTTTCAAAACGCCACAAAGTTATAGCGACGGCCGCGTCCTCGGCGTTTGGTTCTAAGCGTCGGAAAAGGAATTAGCGGTGTTTTTGACACTTATAGCGGCGTTTTTTAAACGCCACTAAAAATCTGTTTTCCAGCAGTGGTTGCAAAAGACATTTAGAAACCAATTTCTATTGGCATGAGGATGGTCGCTAAAAGACTGTTCCGAAAAGTCAAAAATACGATTTTTAGTGACAAAATTTTAAAAATATCACTAATAAATAGACTTTTAAGGACAAAATAAGCTTTGTATACTACACAACAAGCTTGTAAATCAAGAACTAAAAGCCACCGACAGCTGCTGCACACATCCGAAGAATAACAATACAAAATCGATATTGTTAATTTTTAGACTTTTTATCAAAATTTTAGTTGTTACTAAACAGATTAAAAAAAGTATTTATTGAGCCTCCAAAAATTAAATACAATATATTTATATAAATATATTATAATTAACACTAAACCCAAAAAAAAAATATCCTTTTAATAAACTAAGTGGATCCCATACTCCACTAAGGAGGTATACCCAATATTTTTTTTCTTTAAACTCTCACCTTTTTATATTTTTTTTATTACAATTTTATCTCATTAATTTAGTTCCTATTACTAATTTCTCAAACTTTATTCCTAACATTATCTACTCCCACCAACTAGCTTTGACTACCACACTTCTTAGCTTTGGCCAGTCACTATAGACGTAATCAAATACTCTTTGTAATTAAAATAAAAATTATAATAAATTATATCTAACACTACAATGATTCATAAAATTAAAGCAATATCCTGTATGGATTGACTTGAAAAAAAAAAAAAAAGAAAGAAAAGAAAAGTAGTGTCTCACGTTATTCTCACTAGGCCAACCCCTTTATGTGTCACCACAATATTTGTAGAAATCATATTTATTATGTGATGTATCACCACAATATTAATAAAAATATAAATGGTAAGACATATTCGGGTATCCCCAATGCTATAATGTTAAAATAGATGGTCCTAGTTAAATTTTGATATTATTATAGTATCAAAATGTAGGGTTGAGTAAGGAATCCGTAATCCGATCCAGTTCAATCTAATTTGATAGGTTTGGATTGATTTTTTGAATCCGTGGTTCGGTTTCAAATTGAAAAATTAAAAATTCGTAGTCTACGAATTGGTTCCGGATTGAACCCCACGGTTCTGGATTGGAACCGATCCAGGTCGTATACAAATAGCCTATATTTATATTATACACCCTCCCGCATATTATCTTTTCTTCTTCCATACAAAACCTAAACCCAAACCTAAACCCGCATAATATTTTCTTTTATTACTTTTATTTGTTGATTTTTAGTTTTAATTTGTAATTGTCTAAATACTTATGTAAAATCAGTTTTCTTATGATTGTTTAAATTCTAGAACAGTATATCATTATTATAAAAAGACATGTTGCTATTGTAGTACTAATATGATGCTATTTATGTTTTTATGAAATTAAAATGTTCTATATTTTTTTTTTGTTATTTAATTATGTGAATCCGTGGTCCTAAACCGATCCAATCCATATTTAAATGGATTGGTTCAGATTGGTTCCATGATTTAAACGAATTGGATTAGTTCCAATATTTCAAGAACCATAGATAACGGATTGGTCCTAGTTTTATCCCAATCCGAACCAATCCGGGCCATGTTCACCTCTATCAAAATGTTAAATTTTAGGCTTCGTTTGGAAAGTAGATTGACTTTTTGACTATTTTAGTCCTGGACTAAAAAGTCTTATTTGGGTTGGGTTGGGTTTTTTAGTTTTTTTTTACTTTTGTGAGAAAAAAAAATGAAATAATTATGATTTAGATATGACATGTTATCTTATTGACTTTTTAGCATATTTTATCTTTTTACAACTATTTTAACTTGGTAGTTTCATGCCAAACAAGGGCTTAGTAATATGACTTCAATGGTGTACTAGTTATTTCTTTTATTTTTTTCAAATACACAAAAAAAAATAATAAAATTAAAATGCCATTCACTTTGCTTGTTTTTGGTTTTCCAAAAACACTTTTCAGAAAATTCTACTTTCTTGTTTTTCGTATTTTTTTATTTTTACTGAATTTTTTTAATATTTTAAACAAATTTTTTTTAAAAATATTTAGACACCCCTAACATAAATACACATAAAAAGTATAATTTTGTGAAATTTTTTTTTTAAAAATTCACTAAATACAAATAGCCTATATTTATATTGATTAAATTGTTGGAGTTTCCTCGGGTGTATCATGTATGTGTATATATATACCTATATAGTGTTGTAGTGTGTATGTGAATTTCCTATTGTTTTTCTAGTGATAATTGAGTTTCCATCTACAATGGGATTTTGCTAAATACTGAAATGTTGTCCATTGCTTTTCTGCTGAAGATTGGCATTTGAGTTTCATCTGCTGACTTCTCAGATAAAGGGAACATAATTTCAAAGCAAACATTTTTAGTTCATAATAGCTGCTCTCTCAAGGTGCATTCAGTGGCAACTTTGAGAGTGAAATTACTTTCATGGACAAAACAGGAACATGAACTAGAAATTGGAAGGGTTGGGCTTGCTCAAGTTCAAATATGAACTTAGAAGCCTGTGTAGCTGATTCCATTTAAATAATCTGAACTATTTATTTTGTAAGATTCTTAGTATATATCGGTCATGAAAAAAATTAAGTTTATTTGATAATCGTAACTTTTCATTTTATCGTGTCTCTAAAAAATGAATGGTTTGTTTGAAAAAACATACTTGTCTATTTTTTTTAGAGATAAACGTCATAAAATGAAATAGTTATGATTACTGGATCGATTTAATTTTTTTTTCATGGATAATATACAAAGAGAACCTTACAAAATGAACGATTCAAATTATTAAAACACATGGCCCTCAAGTTCTCTAAAAAAGCCCAATCTACAATAATGATTCATCCCACTAAAAACATTACCACTAATAGCACTAATGTATTAAAAAAGTAAAAAAAAAAAAAAAAATACAACTCCAAGAACAAAACATCACATCATTAATGGCGGGACCCACTGCCACCTCATTAGTGAGAGCACTAATTAGTGCTCCCAAGCATTTTTCTTCTTTTTATGCACGTGTCATAACTGCTAGAAAATTGTAAGCCAGTTGAAGCAGCCACCTGCAAAATCGCAGGCATTGTTTAGCAAACATGCCAAATTTATATGCACAAATATATACGTTTTACCTTAGAAAATGATGTCACATGACAAGTTTCACCTGCTTTTTATTTTTATTATGTATCATATGATTCATTATATTTACGAAATAATAGAAACCCACCATCATGACATTTGTTGTGTGAATCCGAAGATGACATTTGTTGTGTGAATTCGAAGTGAATAGAAAAATATTTGGTGGCCCGAAAATATGTGACTCGAATGGCTCAAAAATGACAAAACAATATCGTTTTACACCCAAAACAATGTCATTTTAGGTGTTTCGAGCCATTCGAGCCACATATTTTGGAACCACCAACCAATGCTGGAAGTGAATAACTGGTAAAATTCATCTTAGCTGATCCCGAGACAACACATTTTCTAGGTCAAGTGTTACTGTGCTCTTGGCAACTCTAAATTATATCATTTTTGAACTGCAATTTTGCTTCATTGTGAGCATATGTGTATATATATATGGCATGCCTCCAGGTGGTTTTAACAGCAAAGGGTTTATTATGAATCAAAAAAAAGAAAAGCACAATACAAGGCAAAATAAGGGTTTACTGAAATCAAAATAGCATCTGTTAATCGCCAACAATTTCCTTCGTTTTTTCCTCAACAAACACTATTTTCTGGGACCTCTGTTTATTCATCAGCAAAGTTCCATCACAATCTGAACAATTAAATAGCAATATTAACAAAATAACTGATAACATCCTCAATCCACTAAACATGATGTCCCATAACCACTAGATAATAACACGAGGTCATCAATCGACACCTCAACAGCAAAAGCTCATGGCTGAATCTATGCTTGCTAAAACATCACCTTCAGTTTATTCCCAAGTAGCTGCATTTCCAACTAACCCAAAACCAAATACGGGCTGCTAAAAATCGACTATGAAACACAAATTTGTCGAGCCGGGGTTGGCGAATCACGAAGAAGCATAACCTCCCTCTTGACAAATGATGGCAAGGCAAAGGCAGCTGTGTGAATCTGTCAAGAAAAATGGGGAAAAAAATTATTGAGTTCCAAATTTTCTATACAAATTCAACTGCATGTTCCACTACATGAACAAATGCTAACTTGCAACAGTAAGCCCCGGGCTTGGTATACATTATTTTTCAGGCACATGGTATACTCCCTCAGTCAAAAATTGTTTGTCGGGCATGAAAAATGAGAACTTAATAATAATATATTGTACCAAAATTTTTAAATTTTTTTTTTACCAATTAAAAGATCTCTTTAAGTACTTTTAATTTGTGAAAAAGATAAAAAAAAAATTGAAAATTTTGACATTAGAATACATTATTTTTAAGTTTACATTTTCCGTACTGGACAAATAATTTGATGTCAAGGCCTTGTCCAGACCATCTACTGATATTATTTC